GACATGTCTTACTCTCCGAGGCTGGCCAGTCAAGATTTTGACTCATTTTGACTAAATTACATGCTGGAAACAGCTATTGGAACCCATATTTACCCATTATCTCGAGAAAATTGGATTAAATACTGGCGATTTCTGTTCAGATATGATTAAATATCGGTAAGAAAGATAAATTGAAATAGATAGTGAATTGTTTTATATGATCTTCAAGATTTTGTAACTAAAAGCTGTAGTTACAGGTTCGAAATGGAAATAATTATGTTTATGTTATGTTGGTATGAACTCATATAGGTTTATCTGTATGTGAGATATGATATGAAATGTTGATGTTCATGAACAATATTGTCTGCTGATGTGAATATAAGTGACTATGAAGAGTTTTTTTGTGATAACTCTATTCTCTAGATGGAAATTATGTGATGGTCAATGTGAAGTTTTTGTAATTTATCCAAGAATTGCTGCGAAAAAAAAGAGTTTAGTGTTGTTGAAAGTTACATTTTTATTCTTCTGATTATCGGTATGGTATTTTATTTCAATGAAAGGTTACATCGTATGAGAAAAGCATACCTACTGATCATCGGAATTTGAATCGGAGCATTCGTCTGGATCATCGGTTTGGTATTCAAGATCGGTTTCACTATCAATTGATGTATTTTCTCGATCGATCTCATTCTCATCATCATCGTCGGTATCTTCATCGGATTCAGAGTATTGAATGCTATCATTGATAGAGTTCAATAGATTGATGGCAGATAGAGGATGGGTGTTGGAAAGCACCTGACCTCTTTGAACACCTAGGTGCCATAGAACAGCACACACATGGGCACAGCATCCTATTTCTCGAGCACCAGATATGCAAGTACAATAATAACCAGTGATTGGCTCTTCATTCATTGAATCAAATTGAATCGTAGCTATATAATTCTTGTTATTCGAATGGCGTGAGCGAAAACGTACGCGGACTAAATCGTCGATAGTACTACACATTTCCACAACAAACTCGAGCTCTTCGTCGTTGAAAACGGAAGGTGTTAAGTGATCTTGCACATAAGATCTAGCCATACGAACTTGATAGGCTCCTGAATGAAAAGCATTCAATATTTTTAAAGTAATCATATATTTCAAACCGAAGGCTATCTTCCGAACGTCCTCTTCTGCTAATGGCGGAAATAAGCACAGTTGTCCATTATATTTTTCCAGACTGTTCTTCTTTGTAAATTGAGTTCATCGAGGCGACGCTGAAGATCGTTCTTCTTCTTCAATCGGTCACGCATTTCTGTTGCAATTTCATACTTTTTATGAGGAGTTTTTGTGGCTCTCGATCCAAACGCATTTATTATAGCGCATATAATATTAAATCTGTCAGATATATATGGCATAGAAGAATTCTGTAGTACATTATTGAAATAACGCCATTGCTTCACTTTGCCGTTGACTATATAAATAAACGATATTTTATGAAAAATATGATGAGAATAGCGATGAAAATGATAAAAGAAACAATGTTAACGCTTTATGCTTAGCGACGGAGGACAAAATATTTTTATCCCATCGAAATCTATCGTTTGTAGAGCGTACTTATATTTATTAGGGAAGTACGAAAGTGAAAAATCGCGTGTGCAAATATAGATTTTGTGTAGAATAAATGCGTACCTGATTCTATTACCCAACGATTAGCCGTGACCAAACGTGATTGATTTGCCTCTTCTGTCGAAAATTGTTTTCTCCCATTCAGAAAACCCAGCATCGCGACACGAAATCCCAAATTTTCCATAGTCGGAATTGCATTGCGGAAACCGCGATCAACTAAAACTACGTCATCCTCTTTTAACCAATCTAACATATCTTGAGGATTGTTGCGAAAGCAATGTTCTATAATATTAGCATCATTATTGTAATGATCGCTGAAATAAGGACCAAATACACTTAAAATGTAACCATCCTAGACAGACAAATATTGTTTTATAGTACTATTATGTTGAAATAAGACTATTATTACCGTAGTGGTAATCACCATTGGCTTGACCAAATGACGATGCTTGTGGAGAGAATAGGTACGTCGTTGTAATTCATTATTCATGGACTTTTGGACATATAAATACGTACCATCGATAACTACGACGATTTGTCGATTCGAATCTGTCAAAAGAACATCAGCCATTACGGTTTGATGATATTTCAAAACGCATTGACGACTTATATGACCAAATCCAAGATGATTTGGTACAAAATCGCTCAGAAAGGCTCTCGTCACTTGATGAATTATTCGAGTGATTACTCGCTTATCTTGCATCCGAAACAGCGTTGCTAAAACACTATTAGCTAGCCCCAAACGCATTTTCGCACAAAAGATAGCGATAGCAACACGAACTGAACGATTTTCAGACTGTCGCAACGATTTAAGAGTCGCGACAATATTGTCAAATTGATCTAGAACATACGACATATTCTACAATAGTTTTAAAAATGTCTGACTTTTAAAAATACCTTTTCGAAGACCAGTTATATTATAATAGTCCTGATCATTTAATGAACTCATATCGTCGAAATCAAACGTCTTTTTGTTGTTAATTAGTAAACGAAAATCATTTAATAATTCTACGATGTAATTTGCATCACACTCTAATTCACGTACTCCATTAGCAGGAATTTTCTCAATCGCATCGAAGATAAGTTGTTTATTGTCCAAATGATCCGAACAACATCGAGCACCATTAGGAATCAAAATTCCACGCTTCAGAAATACCAATGACCGATTATCTTTTGATAAAACCTTTAAAGGAATTTCACGCAATCCGCACACTACACAATATCTAAATTAACAAAAATTAATCTTTGTGGATATGTAGAAAAGATTTATATACTTATGAGATGCATGAGAATATTCGACAGAGATCTTAATTGTTGGATTTATACAATCTGCTGGACGGTCAAAAAACATATCGTCCTCATTTTCATAACTATTATCTGTTACATTCTAAAATTAAACAGTATTTGAATACTAAAAGAATGCACAGCTAAACTTACAGATGATTCATTACTAAAACAAGCCTCTGATCGAGTATCGAACTGATCGAAGTCTCCATTCACCTTCTTCAACCAATTTAAATACTTCATTCGGCAATCAACACAACCAGCAGCATCCTTTTCAACTCGTTTTAAGGAACGAGCCGATAAGAACAACTTCCACAATCCACTTCCTGCTACTTGTTTTCGATTCGAAACCATATTTTTATCACAAGCGACACATTTCAAACGTTCATCACGTGGCATTCTTTTCACTTAATCAAACTAACTGAAAATATTACTTGCTACTTTTCTTCGTATAAATCCAAGCAAATGAATTCATTCAGACATTTAATCTTACCTTTTGAATTTGAATTTTATATATAAATGGTAGTCGGTTATGAAATATAGTTGAGATTGATATCTATAAAAATGTTAAAGTAATAAATAAATAAATCGATTTTTCTATTTCAAGAAAAAAAGTAGAATGCATACTTGTGACGAAAATATTTTGAAATTTCGAAAGATTATGTAGAATTTTATAAAAGAGAAGAAATCTTTTAACGACTAAACATGTGTTATTATTTCGGTGCAAGATAGTAAATAATAACGAACAATTTTCTTTTATTTTCATAGATTATGATGACTCTTATCATTTTATACAACCGAGGCATACAGAAAATTGAAACTGAAGGGAAAGAGAAAAAAATTATTCTCATTAAAATAACACTTGTTTCGAGTAGTAGAACATACGTGACATTGAAATTTGTATTGAGAGAAAACGCTATTTCCTATTCGATTCTGCTTTCTCATACCTTTTTATTCTACTTTCTTGCATTCCTTCCAATCCCCACAAAACTTCATGTCAGCTGTATTAAACATATATAACCTCGTCGATGGTCTCTGCGTCATCCTATTCTGGAGCAGCTGCCTCTTTCGAGTTATAACATGAATACAGATTTCAAAAAAATGTCTTAACATAAAATTTGTACTGCAGAGAGACATAGTTTTACTTCTTCCTACGCATAACTCATACTTAAACATAGTCAGATTTGTATATTCTACTTATATTTGAGTGAGACGGAAACAAATCTATCTCTGTCTATTCTTAGCACACCCTAATTCTAAACGAAATATAAATGCATTATCTCAATATCGTCTCAGATGCCACTGTGTATCAAAACTTAAGTTTTTCTTTTCCTTCCAAGCTATAACCAGCTGCTCAATCTCTACTTATATTATAACTCGAACTAGACAGCTCACGACATCTATATTTATTAAAAACTTCAAACATCGTATGTCTTACTTAAACTCACACTATATTTCATTATTCCAAGTAGTTCAGTATACTATTGTTGCAAACGAACTCTTCACTATCACTTATCTTTATGTAGACAAAATATTTCTCGTAAACATCAACATCTCATACGATGCTTCATATACAGATAAATCTAAATCTATTCATACTAACATAACAGAGTGTAGAGCTATCCGAGATGTGGCTTTGGTGAAAAATTCAGCGACAGGTATTTTGATTTTCTCGAGATAATGGGTAAATATGGGTTCCAATAGCTGTTTCCAGCATGTAATTTAGTCAAAATGAGTCAAAATCTTGACTGGCCAGCCTCGGAGAGTAAGACATGTCGCTTATAGAGTGTAGAGCTATCCGAGATGTAGCTCTGGTGAAAAATTCAGCGACAGGTATTTTGATTTTCTCGAGATAATGGAGAAAAGGGGCTTCAAAATGGGTCGCAGACTGTTAAAACGAGGTGATAATCGAGGAAAATATAGGTTTTGTGATCTTTTATCACGGTAGAATCCCTAGATTATTAATTATTGTGTCTAATGGCATAGTTCTTTCAATGTTCTGTGAAAGTTGAAGTGGTATTTCGTTCGAATATGTATTAATATTTCAAGTATCGTGACGAGAGAATTTATGAGAAATTGATCAAAAGGTTATAGGACATATGAACATAGTTTCAGCTAAAAATGTGATTGGATAAGAGTGAAATAAGTTGTAGAGTCTTTTTCTGATTGAAATCTATCGATATCTCTGATTTCCTGAAGTACTTCCTAGCAAAAACTGAGGGGGTCGATTTAGGGGCTTAAAGGCCCCCGTCCTTTCATCCCAATTGACGGTACTAAACTGGAGTTTTAGCTGATTTATAGGTCAATTTTGGCTTTCAGGAGAATTGACAAAACTTCTTCGTGACAAAAGGTATCAAGACCGAACTAGTCTCAAATTAAAGCTGATGTCAGGACGCAACTTTTGTCCGAACGGAATTTTTAAATTTCATGTTATTGATTTTTTATGACCATTTCACTGAAAGATCTAAAAGCCAGGATAAAAAAATTGTGGTTTAACGACAGTAAATTCTTCTTTTCTCAGCTCAGAAACCGACTTTAAAACGCTGGTCGGACACAAGTTTGTTCTCATCGAGATTTTTAAAACAAAAAAAAATATTAGGTATAGCTCAAGACGGGAGAGACTAGCTCCAGTTTTTCCGATTGGAAACAGTGTTTTGAGAAAAACGCTAAAGAAGTTTTAAAAATGAGCGTTTTATTTAAACCCATTTGATCTTTGCACAATCCGCGTAATCTATGAATTTAGTGTTTTGAGCGAAATATTAATCAATGTTTATTATTTCTAGCAGTAGTTGGCACCTAGAAAATTATATAAAAATGTTTTATTAAATGCTAATTACAGTAAGGATGCCGAGTTTTGAAAAACAGAAATACTTCAAAATCCTAGTATCTGAGCCCCAAACTTTTTCATAAGTTTTCTAAATCTAGCCTTTTTGAGGAAAAATCATACATATTCTGAAAGAGGAAACTTTGGTGCATCTTTCTCTGATAAAAAAAAACGAATTTCCATTTTTTTTAAAATATAGGTTTTTTAAGGGGAGCCCCTTAATAATCTACAAGATAGATGATAGAAGATAGTAAATTGCAATGAATGATAATAGCTGATTCTATCCTGAGGATGAGTTTATATGTTATGATAAATTCAAAGCACCATACGAAGCGTTTCAACAGTTGTTTTGGCTGTTAATCATCAGATATGTTCTGAATCTTAACTATTTCAATTAGAAGACACTTTAGTATTAAACATATTATCTGTATAATAGTCAGAATAGACCATCAATTAGATAAATATTTAAAGATTTACATCTAATCATTGTAAAGTCGTAGTTATTCATATAAGCTGTAAGATTAGGATTAGTAAAAGGAAGAATAAGAGCATTAGTAAGATTACGAAGACTAGGACTAACACCAGAGCCAACACAGCCCAATACAATCAGCCTGACGTTTTTACATTAAATAATGGAGATCGTCATCGATCCCAGCTTGGCTCACTTCTAACTGTACTATTCAACTTGTAGCCACCAACATCAAGAAGGCGGTCCGACAAATCAATTAGTATTGAAATGGTATTTTTCTATAGTGATGCTTCGGCCATATGTATATTTCGATGTAACGTAAATTGTAATGTAGTTAGAAGAGATGTTCATATAGCCGTAATATACAAAGTAACGTTACGGGTTAAATAATGTTTATCAGAATAATAATAAGAATATACATACAAGAATTGTTAAGTTAAACACAAGACGTTATGATAATACACTAGTACAAATCAACCTAACGTTCTCTACTAAAAAGTGCTTCATAATTTACTCTAAAACAACGCTCTTCGCTCACTTCACCTAATACGATGCCTCCTGCTCTGTTCTTGTTCCATCATTTATATATGTTCATTATTTCTCCTTCAGTCTAAGATCATGTGTCGTTCTACCTCCAGTTAAAGAATTGCAACATCTGAAGTCATTGAACTTTAGAGTGTAACAATATATAGATCGGTGTTATATGGCACTAATTGTTTAAAGGTCCTCATACGTGACAATACACTAAAATGTTACTTATCAAAGTAATTTCTACTGAAGATGAGGTAATGTGACTCTATGAATAAGAAAAGGTATCTATGTCTCCACCAGTAGGAGGGAAACGTGAATGTGTGAATAAGAAAGGACGTCCAGCAATTATTGGCACACTCAACCACCCACTGACGAGGATTCTATGAGAAAATAGTTTCTAAAAAATTGAAAAGGATTAACTGCTTTATGGCTCAGTAAAAATAAGAGGTAATTGATATCTCCACATGACTATTTGCTTCTCCTCAATCAACATTCCGAGAGAGAGAGAGAGAGAGAGAGAGAAGAGTCTGAAGGCGTCGAGTTCGGAATCAGTCAACGAGAATGTAAATCGGGAGGTGAAAAATCATTGAGGTATCAGTTATCTATTATTTTCTCTCAATGTAGATTTAATAGCAAGCTGTAATTGATACTTCAATTACCTTTTATTTTTACTACACCATACAGTAGTTAATCTCTTTCAATCTTTTAGAGATTATTTTCTGATATAATTCCACGCTGGTGGGCGATCGAAATATATATAACAGCGCCATACGACCATACAAAAATACATTTTCATACTTATATTCATCTACCACTTTCTCCGTCAAGCGTCAAACAGCAATAAATAACAATGCAAAAAATCATCAAAATGCTTTATTTGGTTGCCCTCTGGATGTTGGTAGCAACAATCTGCATGGCAAAGGCGAATGCAATTGAAAGTGACAATGGCAATGAGTTTCTGAACAAAATGCGAAACACATGTACTAGTCTTACTGATCGTTGTGTTCCTCGTACTGGTCCTCGTTGTTCTCGTGATGCTGATTGTGTTCCTCGTGCTGGTGGTATTGGTGAATGTGTTGATGGTGGTCATTGTATTGATCGTTTTGGTCCTCGTACTGGTAATAATTATGTTTATTGTTATTGTCGTGATGGTTGTTATACTTGTCATTATGTTGGCAAATAAGGCAGGTATAATGTCTCAATATATTGCTTTGATGATAACTCATTCAAAGAATGTCGCTGAAGTTTTATTCCGTCATTTGTGCATTCTTCTTTGAGATTATCATTTCAAGTACTTATGACATTGAAATAATTCACTATTTTTTTCTTTATAGGACATATGGCACAACACATACCTACATCGAAAATCCATATTCGCATCATATTATTCCCATCATCGAACATAATTCATCCGTTTATTTTCTTTTCCTCATCTTTTCACCTGTTTAACTTTCTCCCTCGTATTGTCAAAGATTTTTCGAGGTGACTGTGACAACATTTGTGTATTCATCAATTAACCTCTCAAACACAGATAGATGACTCATGTATATATTATCATCTTCTGCTTTCTGTTCATTATATCTATGCATCTCGTCTCATAGCGAGTTCATCTTCATCAGTTCATCTAATCATCTAATGATTCTTTTCTCTTCTTCGTGTTTCTCTCTGTCCGTCTCTTTCTCTTCCTGTTCTCTCTTGACCGATGCGCTCAAAAGAAAAGAGAACAGAGAGAACGAGTATAAAAGGAAATGTTTGGTTGAAATAAAGTCAGTCGAATCACCTTGAATAAAGTTTGTCGTTACATGGCGACCCTGACAATCTGAACCTTGCACTCCGGAATAAACAATATATAGTAGAG